CCTAACACTAACCCTGGTCCACAGAGACTCATTTTAATATTTAAATAGTGGTGTTTAATCTTCTTGGAATTCTCACACAAGGACAATCATTCAAAAAATGAATTCAATGCAACAGAAAGTATTTTCTACTCAGGTTGATGACCTATTTCAAGAAATGTAATATACAAAAGAATCCAACTCTTGCAGGAGATCTCTTGATTCACCTTCAGTCTTGGAACTCACCATAGATGGATAGACATGCTGATAGGGCCCAGACGCAGTGACACCCAGCGAGCAAGTCTGGGTGTTCTCCACCAGGAGGACACAGGGCTACTGCAGAGCTGAGGCTCAGAAGCCATAAGAGGAACCTAAAACTCTGCACCAAAAAGCAAGGGTGTGTCTAAGGAATGCTGGGGACACTCCCAAGGACAGCACCAGCGTACCAGGGCACTCCCATGCCAACTGGGACCATTCCAACACCCAAATAAATAATGCTAATAACAATTCATTGTATAAATAAGAATTCAAAGCCCATGTTGCTGTAATAAATGAACAAATAAATAAGTGAGGGCAAAGAGAAAGCTACTCCCGCAGAAACATGACAGCTAACAAGCAGAAAGGCAGCGCTGGCCCTAGAAATGTCAATGCTGCTAACACATTGCAAATCCACAAGAAATGGGATCGTTAATCTCAAAGCTCTTCCCATGAATTACTTATCAAGTACAAAGGGTAAGACTATAGTTTACAATAGAGAGACTTGGGAGACACCACCTGACTCAGTGATCAAAGTGCCAACACCGGACAAACCAGCGGTAGGACTCAGTGAGGAGGACACAATATCCTTCTGTATGTCCCTACTAAAAACACTCGCCTGACACCCATCATGAGGGAATGGGAGACAAAGCAAATTAAAGGGCACTCGACACAATATTTAGCTAAGTCTCCTCTTTAACCCTTTTCGGTCCAACGTGGAGGCTGACTCGACAGACCAGGAGCCAGGAGCAGGTCCGTCGAGCTGAGGTCTAGTGAGACAGATAACTTCAACATTCAATCCCGTCAATTAATTTGGAATAGACTGTTTGAATTCCAAAAATAAAACTGGACCGCAAAGGGTTAAAAATGTCTGAAGAGCCCAGCCAGCATGGCTCCGTGATTGAGAGTTGACCTGTGAACCAGGAGGCCAAGGTTTGATTCGTGGTCAGGGCACATGCCAGGGTTGCGGGCTCAATCCCCAGTAGGGGGCGTGCAGGAGGCTGCAGTTACTCATCCCTCACATCATTAGCAATTTTGATGGCGAGCCTATGACACGCGTGTCAGAGGTGACATGCGAACTCATTTTTTTGGTTGATTTTTCTTTGTTATATGGCATTTAAATATATAAAATAAATATCAAAAATATAAGTCTTTGTTTTACTATGGTTGCGAATATCAAAAAATTTCTATATGTGACACGGCACCAGAGTTAAGTTAGGGTTTTTCAAAATGCTGACACGCCGAGCTCAAAAGGTTCGCCATCACTGGACTAGAGACTGAGGTTCAGAAAAATGAAATAACTGTTCAGGGTCCCAAGGGCAATTAATTATAGACAACCATCCGAACCTGGGCCAGCGTCAGGTACAAATGCACTCTCTCAGTCCTGGGGAGGGAGCCCTTCAACCTCTATGCTCCGTGAACAGGAATTTCCAAATGGCCACACAATCAGGATTCAAGAGAGAGCCCATGAAGAAAGTGAAGAAGGACTGCGAGCGGTAAACCCAGACAAGCATGGTCGCCAGGACTGTGGAAACCAACAGCAAGAAAGAAGCCACCCTGAGCTCTTTGTGAAAGGCTTCCTGCGCCCGCCATGCACTCATTACAACCAAGAGGAAGAACGATCATGAACTAACGTCACTTCAAAGATAAGCAACGGAAGAGCAGACTAAAAACCTGCCTTAAGTCGCAGGCTCTTTCACTTTTCAAAAAACCCAATTTAATAAAATCTAAAGATAAGTTATTTGATTGTAAGTAATGTGATATAGAAACTGACGGAAGAGAACTCTGTGCCGAAGCACCATCACCTCACAAGTCCAGCACAGAGAACCACCTGAGGAGGCTGGAAAGCACCTGCAGTCTGTGCTGGCCTGAGTGCGAGGCGCCTCTCCCTCACCGCCCCAGGGACACACCCTGACTGCACTTTCAGGAACAACGCTGCAGACTGGCTCCTGTCCTGTCCAGAGTCAACTACTTGGACCAGGAGACCACTAATGCAAAGAGTAATGTAATTAACTACATCGATGCCAGCCTAGGTCAGAGAAGAATGAAGACAGTGGTTCTCAACCTTCTGGCCCTTTAAGTACAGTTCCTCATGTTGTGACCCAACCATAAAATTATTTTCGTTGCTACTTCATAACTGTAATGTTGCTAAAGTTATGAATCGTCATGTAAATATCTAATATGCAGGATGGTCTTAGGCGACGCCTGTGAAAGGGTCTTTCGACCGCCAAAGGGATTGCGACCCACAGGTTGAGAACCGCTGAATCAAGGAAATAAAACAGACTCCCAAGTAAACCTCTCTAGGAAACCTTATAAATATGATACTTACTGTACTTCTGTACTAACAGGATGTAAAGAAGCTCATTAAGAATGTACAAGAACACAGAAATTAATTATATGAACTAATACTTACCAATTATTTAGTTAGTTATGAACCTGAAATGCATAAATAATACCCTGCACAGGTACAGTACATAAGCTGATCCTCCCAAATGCTAAGACCCTGTCAGAGCCTCACTGGAGTTGCCAGTTCAGACCTGGGCTCACGGCCTAGCCCAGGGCATTAACGCCACAGCTGACAGGAGAAGGACCAGCAGGGACAGAAATTAAAGTCAGAAGAAATGTGCACACACAACACTTAACAGAACTGTTTCTTTTTGTATTGCCTGAAATAAACACAATTAAGAATATGCTCTCGTAGAAATAGTTCCTACCCACACACACTGCACACACACACACAACCCTCGCCATTAGAAAATACTATTTATTCCAGTTCAGAGAGACACAAACAAGGCATTTATCCTCGGAGAGTTGAAAGTAGCCAACATGCTACTAGAGGAGCTGTTGGGAAAAATCCTCGTGGAGATTGCAGACAGGTTGGTTAGTTAACTTACTACTTAAGAATTAAAAAGAACTAAAAAGCTACTCCAACGTTTGGCAGATAGTTATTTTCATGTAAAATTCTTCTGTTGTTTTTCTGTGTATTGTAAAATTATATAGCATAGTTTTAGAACAGCGGTTCTCAACCTGTGGGTCGCGACCCCTTTGGCGGTCGAACGACCCTTTCACAGGGGTCACCTAAGACCATCCTGCATATCAGATATTTACATTACGATTCATAACAGTAGCAACATTACAGTTATGAAGTAGCAACGAAAATAATTTTATGGTTGGGTCACAACATGAGGAACTGTATTTAAAGGGCCAGAAGGTTGAGAACCACTGTTTTAGAATATAGAATGATATGAAAAATATTTTTTACACTGTAGAAAAGAGAGCAAAAATTTAACTAGCTCAATTCTTTGAAAGGAAAGGTGTTGATTCATTTGCAAGCTGTTCTTCGACATGGAGCTAGCTGAGCCCCCAGCTCAGCTGCCAGCCCACCAGGACCCGAATGCACTTGGCTTCCCTTCTTACAGCCACAGCCTGCCCATGGAGGCCACTGGAAAGCTCTATTCCCGACCTTGGCCCATGAAAGTGAGACACTGACCAAGTGTGCTTAAAACAAAGTCAAAAGCAAAGGGCCACAGACACTGGAAACTGATTAACTTTTGAGTTCTCATCTAAAAATAACAAAGGCATATAATAGTAAAATAATTTGATGGAATATAGGCCATCTGCTCATCAACATTTTGAATCACCATGAATGGAGGTGAGAAAAACAGATTCAAGTAAAACAAAATTATGGGTCCTATTATGGAATTTCTAATTCATATTACTCTATCAAAAGTTTTAGTCTACAAGCCCAGAAATAAAACCAATTAACACTGCACTATGTAAATAGCTCACAAGATGTTCCCAAATGGGCACAGCACAGGACATAACACCACACGTGCCCCTTCACGGTCCTCTGTGCACTGTCCTCCCCGGAGGGCCTGCAGGGTACAGGCTGTGGTCTGTAAAGGCATCACCACTGGCCGGCTTCCCCTTCCTTCCTCAGTTTATAGACAAACCACACACACCAGTACTGTGACAGGACAACAATTGTACGGACCACCCAGAATATGCTGCGGAATCCTGTCAGTACAGCAAGGCTAAGCCCCCCTCTATAAAAAAGCAGGTATCTACACATGGCTTCTTGAAAGGACAACCTGTGCCACGGACATCTGTCTGCCTCTGTTCAAGAACTAAATTGTCCAAACCGGGCTGGAAAACAGCAATGACTGCCTTAACCTTAGGGAGAGTGATCTAAAACGGCCACTGTCACAGGGAGACAGACAAAAGTGTGCTTGCCTCTGACCTGCAACCCAGGTACTTGCCCTTGACTGCGAATGGAACCCGTGACCCTCAGGTGTGCAGGCCGAAGCTCTAACCGCTGAGCAACACCGGCCAGGGCCACCGTGGTTGCACTTTAGAACTCTGCTCATCCTGTTGCCCCTGAATCTAAAGCTACACACGAGTCACTTGCTTTGTGGTAAAGGAAATTTTGTGTTTAATTCTGTGTTCATAATAGTACCACAAATTATCCTCAAAAAGAATCTAAAACTGAGAAAGGTCCCTGAATCTAAAGCTACACACGAGTCACTTGCTTTGTGTAAAGGAAATTTTGTGTTTAATTCTGTGTTCATAAGTGAAGGACAGAGACAACTGAACACCATGGTCAGCACGGACACTGCAGCTCTCACACCAGCTTCCCGAAAGAAGGGCTGGTCCACGTGACTGTACAGAAGCAACCTACCTCCCTCTGCTCACACACCTGCTCTGGGAATGAGGGCATTCTAAGTGAAGGATGCAGAGATTCAAGAGGCACAGTGACCTCGTCAACTTACCCCACCTGACAACTTAATCACCCTGACTTTGGAGCTGACATGCGGCCCATCTCCGCCACCGCTGTTTGCCCGGTGCATGACAGTCCTTTTGGCGCCAGGCTTGGAGTCAGGGGGCCGGCCCTGGAGGGCTGTCACTCGGGCGGTCTGTGCTGGGGGCGGCTCGTCCCCATCCTCGGGCTGTGCCTGCAGGACTCTGTGTCTCAAGTGCTTCAGTGGTTTGACTGGCTGTCCTGAATACTGCATGTTAGCACCAGGTGGCACAAAGTTTGACGTCTTCGGCTGAAGACTTGAAAGAGCAACATCTTGGTTTTTCACGAGAAGTCTGTTTTTCACATTCTGTCGGCCCTGGGCACCAGGGAAGGGTAGCAAGGGGTTTCCATTGGTGGGCAACGGCAATGGCAATGCCGGTGGCTCTTCCCGCTCCGCAGGGGCCCCAGTGCTGCAGAGTTGCTGTTGCTGCTGCTGTTGCTGCTGCTGCTGCTGCTGCTGCTGCTGCTGCTGCTGCGCCAGCCTCTCCAGTAGCTCCTTCTTCCTGGCTCCGGCCTGCTGCTGCCGGCGCATCTCCTTCTGCTTCAGGATCTCCTCCCGCAGGCGCTTCTGCTCTTCTATCTTTAAGCGGTACAGCCTCGTTTCTTCATCTTCATCGGGAAACTGGAACAGAGAACACACACGGCTTACTTGGCAGCACCAGACGAGGCGACCGTTCCAGTGTATTTCTACAAACTCAGAAAATGCAAAAGTATAAAAACCCTTTCATTCAAAATTTGAAAGACACTAAGTATAACGCCTTCCTCTGAAGAGGGGGAAAATTATGCAATAGCTAACTTAGAAAATCTTATCAGAATATTAAAAATGAAAGAATGTACATTTCCATTCATTTATAAGTCTGAAACCAATTAAACCATTCATTTAAGATATCAAAATATGTTTTGAATGGAAATAGCCACAGTAGGGGCCGCACTGTCACACAGGTTTTATCTGGCTCTTCTCTGACGAGCCAACAAAAGGTGGGTGTAAATGACCTGAAAGGGCCTGATTAGAACTATTGATTTTTCGTACAGAATTTCAGCCTGATCTCAAACTCATTTGTCACAGAATAATTGGTGGTAATGAACAGCACAAGTCAATCTCTCTGACCTTGAACTCATGCACTCTCCTCAGAATCAAAATGCTGTCAATGGCATTATTGGAATATTAATGCTATCTAAGGAAAGCTCTAATATGCCAGCCCCAGACCATTATGAGAGTCTACCAAAAAAAATCTCAGGAAAGTCTGGTAACTTTCACCAAAACCATGCAATAAGGAAAGTTTATTAAAAGTTAGGCACTTAGCCCTAGCCTGTTTAGCTCAGTGGACAGAGCACTGACTCACAGACTGAAGGGTCCCGGGTTCGATTCCGGTCAAGGACACACACCTTAGTTGCAGACTCAATCCCCTCTCCAATTGGGGCATGTCCAGGAGGCAACCAATCAATGTGTCTCTCTCACATCGATGTTTTTCTTTCTTTCCACCCTCTCTCCCCCGCTTCCCTTCCACTCTCTCTAAAAATCAATGGAAAAATATCCTCAGGTGAGGATTAAAAAAAAAAGTTAGGCATTTGTTAAAAATGGCAGTTATTTTCTTTAAAAGCATCACAGATACGCTCCATCCACAGATCCTTCACAAAAGATTGCAATAGGAATTAATCTATCTAGAGGTCAGCTATTAACAAACAAACCTTAAAAATTAGGAGTTAAAACCAAAATATAACTGCAGACCCTACTGGTGCCCCCAGAGCCCATGCACTTGACCTACAGGACAGAGTCGGGCCCTCATCAGGGCTTGCTTGTCATTTTAGAAGCAATTCTGACCAAGTCAGCTATCTAACTGAAAGTTTAGGGCAGATGTGAAACAGCAAATCTGGAGTCAGATGAGGCCACACAGGTAGGTGTAACAAGTAAACAGCATTGAAAAAGTGAGGGGCCAGGCCACTCATGGAGGAGCAGACAGCTGGGGAGTAGTGACAGGTCCAGGGTTCCCTGCCTCAAACGCAGTAACAGTCACTGAGATGTGTCCCTAAGCAACCAAGAAAGAGTTAAAGTACCAGTATGTTCAAGAACATAGCTGGGAATACTTCTAAATAGGTTTGTCCTTTATCGTATCATTATCGATTAAGTGAATGTAAGAAAATAAACTACAAAACAAATAGAAGACATTTTAAGATGTAAAAAATTTTACTTCTGGTCCATTCTATGTGCACAGAAAACTGAAAGCAAACAAATGAAGACACTGCGTACACATGGTCACCTGCAAGTTCCTTTCCACGCACAAGCACCTGGTTGGTTCTACAGAAACTGACACTGCAGAACCCACTGAATCACCAGTAAAGAACAGACAGCCATGTGCAGCAATGCTATGCCTAAAGGCCACTTTTGTCCTTTTATTTAGATTCTGTTGTTATAAAAGTGCATGTAACTTAATTTTTCTGAACCAGTCTGTGATGAGTGAAGAGCTGGCTATGTAAATTAAAAGCAGGATAAAATTTTTAGCAAAGATTTTTTATAAACTGCCCCAATCCAGTCTGTAAATCTAATTTTTTCATATATTTGATTTTAAAACCAAGTCACCCTTCTTCTATTAAGAGCTTATTAAATGTCAACTCAATATTTTGACTTTATATTGACACTTCTGATTAGTAACACATTACAACTGCTTACAATTTATTAGCAGAAAATCTGACTTCCCTCCAAATTTAACTATTAGTGTTGACTGGTTTTTATATAATTAAGAAAACATGACTTGCCTATATTTTTATCAAAGGACACTCTTCATGACATTCTTTTATATTAAGTTAACACATGACACTAATTTATAATATTCTACATAAATTTTATCAATACCATATCCCAGGCACATGCACTCAATGGCTAAAGAAATTGAGGCTTGTGAGAAGTGAAGTGTGAAGTGACTTGCTCAGGGAAATGGTGTTGGCGCTGGTGGGTCATTCCAAGGGTGTGCTTCTCACCTATGCTCCATTAGACACCTCGTCCTAGTTAGAACCCAGGACTTACAGACACTGCCCACGGCATGTATCTGTACTTCTGGCAACAGCCTAGGATTAAATCTTGACTGCACAGAAGCATGAGACAAGCACAGCCATTTCTTTTCCAGGAGACCAGTGACACAGATTTTACCAATACTTAACAAGAGCTAATTAAAAAGCTCAGGACCAAATCTGTACTAACACCACTACACAAAAAAATAATCTAGCGGCCACAACTCAATCAAGGTGCAAATAAGATCTCAATTGGAAACCATGTTACATACCGACTTGCATTTACTCTTTATTCTTATATTTATACCTACTGGAAATCAGCAATAATAGCACAGGTCGAAATAAGCTCCCCCCCCTCCCCCAAAAAAAATCTACTTAAAGGTTAAAAAAGTGGTCCTATCTTCTAGCCGTGCACAGTGTAAAATGGTCCACATTGAGAACCAGCTAAGTAACTACACAGCTCACGGGCCAAATCTACCCTAGCATTACTCTGTCATCAAGCTTTACTGGAACACAGCCACCTCTGATGATGCTAGAACTGTCTATAATTGCTTTTGTGCTAACAATGCAGAATTGAATATTATGAGAAACAGGTTGGACTATCAAGTCTGACATTTTTATTATCTCAACGCTTTAAGGACTTGTTTGCCAACCCCCAACATAAACAGACTCTATAGCATACAATTTTAACTGTGCAAGTGCATAAATACCATCTAATATCAAAACCAGTGAGAATGAGGGTGTATGTTATATGAACATGACCGTGAGGTTAAAAGAAGGACCTAGTTGAGAAAAAGTGGTAAGATTTGGTGATAACTCGCCAGATCAGAGTGAACTCAGGGGTATAAATGGATTATAAGGCTTCCTGTTATTTTTTAATAGCAAAGAGTCCTACCTCTGGTTCTGCTTTTGCTTCTTCCTTAGGTTGACCCTCAGGGCTAATGGGCTTGGCCTTCAAGTCCGTCTTCCCCTGTGTGTTCCTAGGCCCAGGTCTCAAGGGTGGTGACATGCTGTCCATCGGCTTTCCATGAGCACCAGGGGTGGATGCACCACGACTGTTACTCAGTTCCATGACGTGCGAGGGCGCTATTGGTAACTCACGCAAGTTACTGTTTCTGGCAGCAGTTGGCTGCAGCTGCTGCATTGGCCGTTTGGTTACATTCTGAGACGTCGTATTCTATCACAAGAAGACATAAATTCAAATTACAACAAGAAACTTGGGAGGACCACAGAAAGGCACATTAGATTATTAGATAAAAATAGTTAGAAATCATTCTAATTAGTGACTTCTCTTTCAGGGGCAGACACTTCTCCCATCCATACTTTTTTCAAAATGAATGTTCCCTGCTCAGTGCGGAAGCACACCCTGCTGGTAAGGACTGGGACCCCTAAGGGGGTCACACTGCTAACAGACAGACAGGCTCTGAACTGTGGACTCACAGCAGGGCACTGCAGGTGGGGCTTGAGTCTGGGGACAGAGCCAACAAAAGACTCCATCTGCACAAGGAGTTGGCAGCACCATTTTTACTGGGTCCCCTAAGTTTACAGTGGACCAAGCAAAGATTCAAGCATTAAGTCAGTGCCCTCCCTGGAGGAGAAAGATACCCGTGAGTTTTCTCCAAGAGGAAACACTTGGTTATGTCCATCCTTGGGATTCTTAACAGAATCCCAA